GCACATTTGGGTTAGTTATTGAAATGTAAAATGCTCCTCTTAAGCACCTCTAATCCGTCCATGCCAGGCAGAGAGTGGCAACAGACCCGGGCACTCTGCAGCTGTGCCAAGGCACTCTTGGCTCTGCAGCCAGGGGAAAGAGGCATTTCGTTCCATCCCGTCCCCATCCATCCCATCCCCATCCCTGGGCTACCCTCCCAACACATCACTCACCAAGACACAGTGCTGAACCAGAGCTGGGACTAGAGGGACATCTCCATGAGACATCTCTGTGGGATGGGGACCCGGACTCCTGGTCCTGCCCTGGCTCTGCAGGACGGTGCTGGTTACCCGTTGGCTCTCCCGAGCTGTCCATGCCTCTTCCAGATGTTGCAGGGATGAAGCAAGGAAGGAATGTGATGCCATCCACCTCCCCAAGGTTCTGGGGCCTGAGAGAGCCACCAAACCCGATCACCATCACCCTTGTCCCCGCAGAAACAGCTCCTTCTTTTTACCTTAATGGGGCATAGCGGAGAAGGGGCGATTCATCATTCCTGGTGGGAGCAGGGCCCCCGGGAGCAGCTGCTGTTTCTCTCTTCATTACAGACCAGCCGATGGAATGATGGCTTTCATAAAACCAGGGGGGAAGGTTTTTTCATCATTAGCAGCCGGTGACAGCGAGTGCCCAATGAGCTGTGGCTGAAATACAGCTTGGGAAGAGTGAGGCCCCAGCTCTGGCCAAGAGGGGACCATGGGGAGGAAGGTGACCGGGCACCGAAGAAATCAAAAGCAGCTCTGGACGGATGAGCCACCAAGCTGGTGGCCAGCCTGGCTGCATGCCCTGGGGCCAGGCTGTTTGCTGCAGGGGAGCCAGAGATGCAAATTTATCAGATGCTTCCCAATTTGGTTTCAGGGTTGGGTTTGTTTGCACAGAGTCACCACCATGGATAACAAGTGGGAAGGGAAAGGAACAGGCAGCAGTGGGACATTGCTGATGGCTTGGGGGGCTACAGCTTTGCTGGGAAGCTGCTCTGGTGTGGAGCCCTTCCCTGAGCAGGGGCTGATGGCCCCAAACAGCCCCAAACCCCCCACACCAGGGGCGCTGGAGATTGCAGGGGCCCTGCCACTGCTCGAGGCCACACTGCCCTCCAGGACAGCACCACAGGGCGGGGGGACAACCAGCTCGCCCCCAGGGACGCCCCTGCCAAGGGCTGACCCCGCAGCCCAGAGGTGATGTGCACCCCCAAGACCCTTCCCAAGTGCAGTTCTTGATTTTAATTTGCGTTATCCCCCTTTTTATTAATTATTGGTAAAATGCAATTACTGCATCATTCACAAATGTTAATTAAAGATGAAAAACAGTCCTGACAAGTCAATTAGATTTTTTTTTTCCCCTTGGTTTCCATTAAATTAAGACTCAAGTGTTACTGGAAATGTTTAATATCACAACAGATTAAACTGAACGCTGCTTTGTAATAAATAAATCACTGAAGACAATGCAGGAGCTTTCTTCTCCAGAAGGATTTTCTTACAATAGGCTTTCATTTTCCAGCTGGAAAATGCACTGGAAGAGTTTCTTCTTCCTCTGCAACACCTTTTCCAGCAACAGAAAACTTCCATCAGCAGCATCGTGAGGAGTTGTGGGCATCCAGGGTGGCTGGCAGGTCTTGCCTGGTCCAAGATCTCGCCATGCTGTTATTAGGAGGAAACCCACAGTAAAGCTCTTCAAGCACAAGGCAACCCAAGTCTCCTCTGCGTGGTGATGAGCGAACACGGCTCCTCTGTGCCACAATGGTTGTGCAGTCCTCGAATTAATCCCTGCAAATGTGCTCCCTCAAAATACCCTTGAAAAGCAAGATACGGGTGGTATGGAGGTCTTTGCTACAGGCTGAGGGGTGGGTACCTGCATCAGGGCTCCCGGACCAGAGCCAGGGAAAGAAATCCAGAGGCCATCACGAATTTGGAACATTTATTTATGCAACTGATTTTCTTCAAAGGAAAGAAAGCCAAAAAGAATAAGAATAATAAAAAAAAAACAGTTCACAACAGCTGGATGTGCGTGGTACAATCCACATCAGACGTGTCCCTCCTTCGCCACCCCTCCCTCGGTCCCACCGCACCGTCCCCCTCCACGGTGGAGCCACCTCCTGTCCCTTTGGCCGCAGCTCTTGGATGCTGCCAGCTTTCGGGGTCACTTTTTCTGCATACAGACAAAACCGTTCCAATTTGGTGTTTTTTCTTGGGGTTTCATTTTTTTGTTTGTTTTGTTTTTATTAAAAAGAAAAAAAAAAGCACCACTCCAATCTGTAATACCAATAAACATTATCCATCTTAAAAACAGTATTTATATTTTTATATATATATTTCTATATATATATTTCTATGTACAGGATGTCCTTGCCTCACGTCAGACGAGCATCTCGGTAGGAGTTGGAGATCGGTTGGTTTTTATAGCACTTTGATTTCAAAGTTTGCCCTTCCGAAGAGATGCCCTAAAAACCCAGAGACATCCAGCAAGGAGATATCAAAAAAAAGAAAAAATTAAAAAAAAATTCTCGCTTTTAAAACATATATACAGCTCCTGCAGTCTCATACAACTCCCCCAGCCTCTGTTGTCTCATTAGGACTAAATGGGGTTGCAATTTTCCTTTTTCCTTTCTGGCAACACTTCACCTGCGAAGCCCTGGGGGATGCTCCCTCCCTCTGGACCGGAGGGAGGATGCAGGTGGCCCAGGCTCCTGGCAGGTCTGGGAGCATTGTCCCTCCATCCCCCCGGCACTGGGGCTGAGTGGTGCCACCAACATCCCATTCCGGACATTTCAGAGGTTCAGCTCAGCCATTTTCATACAAAACCAAACAATTTCTGCACCCTGGGACCTCTCTGCACCCGCCACACAGCACTTTCCCTGCGGCATCCCGGGACAGTGTGGACACGTCTACAGAGAGACGGGGACTGGGAAAAGAACACTAATTTATTCGAAGTAAAGGCTTGTGATGAGATTACGGGTGTTACCAGGTACTGGTGTAACTGGAACATTTTGCAGGCTCTGGTGGGGTAAAAAGACTATGGTCACGAGACAGCATGGGCGCACAGCAGGGTTAGACAGCAGGGGTAGAAAGAAGGGGAATAATGTTGTATAGCCCTTGGAATAAGTTATTGTCAGGCTGCGTGAAATATTTGGCAAGCACGTGGGAATGCCAAGTGCCTGGGCAAAACCCTCCGATGCTGCTGAAATCCTCATCACCGCCCCCGGGCGTTTACAAGACAGCAGGTGGGACATCCTCCAAGGTGGAGAGAGGGCAGAGATTTATCTCGTTGCTCTTCTCTGCCCTTTGGAAGGTGGATGGAAATATCTCCTGGGTGAGCAAACCAGGGTGCAGCCATTTTGGCTCTATGGCCCTTGAGCTGCAGATCAGTCTGACCAAACAGCATCTTCCAAAGCTTTGAGTTGTGGTATGGATCTGAAGGCAACTCCCTGGGATCTCCAGCCTTCAGGGAGGAGATGGGGCTGAAGGATGAGGGGGGTGAAGGATGGGAGGGGATGAAGGATGGGGTTGCCCACATGCAACCTCCAGCATACGGAGGACAGTTTCTCATCTATTCTGCTTCGTGTCCCAAAAAAATGACTGTGAAGGGTTCTGCCTGGCCGTCAAGACAGAAGCAACCTCCCCTTGGTTCCTTGAATCTCCAAGGCAGACCCCAGACCTGCCTCCCTCTGGTTGCACCTTCCTGAGGCCATTTACAGGGAGAGAAACCCTTGACCATAGCTTGATTACAGCCAGGCTCTTCCCCATAAGCAGAAACCCCCGTAATTATCACAATGTCAGACAGAAAAAGTGACATCTCATACCCGACCAGAGCAGGATGAAGCCAAAAAGTATCAGGCACCTTCAATCACCATCCCCATATGCTTGTCCCCAAGTGGCAACGGGGGCATGGGGACATCCCCATGCCCATCCCTGAAGCACTGAGATGGTTGAGGGCTTCAGCACAGCTCACCCTATGCCAACACCATCACCAAAACCGATCGGCCCGCTTCGCCAAGCCCAGCAAAGCCAAGCAGCATCAGTGGGCGACTGCCTGGGGGAGGCATCCATATGGCAGAGACCCAAATTTTGAGGATTTTGTTTTGGGGCACTGAAGGTGCCTCATGTGCAGCGATTCACAAGGGAAAGGTTAAAAACAGACCCATGGGCTGGTGCCTTTGGGTCAGCCCAGGAGGACTTAACTGCTACAGATGGAGAAGACAGTATGGAGATACAGGGGAACCATCACTTGAAAAGCTTTGCAAAGGCAACAGGAGGGGTCCGGGTTGGTCCCTGCAGAGGGACATAGTGTGCCCAGGGTCCTCCAGGTCCCACCACCATCCCACATCCCCACTCTGTCCAGGGCTGGATACACAAAGGGTTGCAACTCACAGAACTAAAAAAAGCGAAGATCAAACTCATGGTGTGAATGGGCAGAAACTCAAGAGCTCCTCTCAGGGTCTTTGCTCCGGCTCAGAGCACGTCC